GCTGCTGCTGCTGCTGCTGCTGCTGCTACTGCTGTTGTTACTACTGCTACTGCTGTTGTTATTGTTGTTGTTGTTGTTGTTGTTGTTGTTGCTGCTGCTGCTGCTGCTGCTGCTGCTACAGTTATTACTATTGTTGGTGTTACTGCTGCTGTTGTTGTCGTTACTGCTGCTGCTGCTGCTGTTGTTGTAGTTATTGTTGTTGTTGTTGTTGCTGCTGTTGCTGCTGCTGCTACTACTACAGCAGCTGTTGCTGCTGCTACTACTGCTGCTGCTACCGCTGCTGCTACTAAGCGGTATATCCCAACGAATAAATGTCTTCGCGGACTGTGATTCTGTGAGAGAGAGGCGCGCACTCTACGCACTCACACGTCACACCGTATCCTCAGCCACACAAGCAACACGACACCGGCACGGCATCACAACGAGCCTACAACACACAGCGAGACGACACTCAGCCACACACACTCATAGACAACACGCACACGAACGCACGCGCACGCGCGCACGCACGAACGCACGCATGGACAAACGCACGGACGCGGACGTACGCGCGGACGCACGCATGGACGCACGGACGCACGGACACACGCACGCACGCGCGCACACACGGCCACGCAACGCGTCCGTGCGTGTCGTAAGCCCGTACGAACAGTGACTACACTCGCGCCCCCCACGCGGGCCGCCCGCCTGTGGCACAGCCCGACCTGTCTGTCACGCTCTCAGATCGAACGCACGATCAATGTCAACATCGTCTCGCCGACGAACTTTGTAACGTGACGTAATGTCGCATTGAAGACAGGATCGATTGAGTGACGCGTAGCGCGCGAGGCTGTGCGTGGGGAACCGTGTAGTATCTATCGTCAATAGTGAATCGTGTAGTGTATGGATGTGTATGGTGCATGTATGGTGCATGTATGGTGTATGTATGGTGTATGTATGGTGTATGTGTGGTGTGTCTATGGTGTATGTACAGTGTTGTATGTTGGTGTTCGTATGATTTATGTCAGAGTGGTGCAAAAAAACTCGATCTCTCTTACACTTTTCCTAGTAAACTATTTCCTTGCTCATCCGCCCGGAAAGGTTGGTCTCTCTTTATGAGAGACGGCGAGAGTAAGAGCCGGGAATAAAGGGTAGACGTGGTGTGAGAGGGTGCGCGTGTGCGCGTGACTCTCTCTCTCTCTCTCTCTCTCTCTCTCTCTCTCAAGCATTGTCAGCAATGCCTTTCTTCTAAACCACGCAGGCGATGGCACCGCTCTCACAGCCACGCCGGCAACCCACCTCCGCATGCGCGTGTGTCCATGGTTACCATTCTCCACAAGATTCAGATCTCTTAACTAGAAACTATACATTGGCGACCGCAGGCTGCCAACAAGTGGCGACGCGCCCCCGCACAGACATTAGGGATTGATTAATCAACTCGTAGCCACACCGTGGGATTCTAACCGACCGAATGCAATCTGGCGCTGAAATAGAATTTATGCGATTGTGAGAGAGATCCATCATCCTCCCGTTTTAAAAGATAATCGGTCGAATTCTCCACTCTTCTTCGTGCAAGGAATGTTGAAGGAGCAAACGCGGAGGAATATAAAAGATGGCGACACTCTCCATAATAAACCCGCATAGGTGTACAGCTGCATGGCACTATAGGTGTCGCTAGCGTCGACTTCTGCGACACAAATAGCGACTGACAGAGATTCCGCATCGCCGCCGCGCACATATATATACCTGTCTGCATAGGAACACAGAGAAAGATGCAACACTTTCACGCCCCCCCCCCCGCCAGCCCCCGCCCCCGCCGCCTCCGTCTACATACCTGTCTGCGTAAGGGTCGTAGTCGGAGCCATAGCCCTGGTTGTATTCGTCCTCGGGCGGGTAGTCGCGTGAGTCGCGTGAGTACGATCGCTCCAGCGACGAACCGCGATCGAACGACGAGAACCCACCACCACCACCACCACCGCCTCCGCCTCCTCCTCCTCCTCCTCCTCCTCCCCCTCCTCCTCCTCCGTGACCGTGGCCGCCGCCGCCGCCGCCGCCGCCGCCGCCGCCGCCGCCGCCGCCGCCGCCGCTGCCGCCACTGCCACGCGATACTCGTCATCGTCCTCGTCCGGGTAGAGTCGGCCGTCGCCAAGGTAACCGTCGCCGTGGTAGCCGTCGCCGATGTGGCGTCGGCGCCGGAAGTCGTCTGACTCGCGATCGAAGTCGCGGTCTTGTTCATATTCGTCGCTGTAGCCGTCGCGCTCCTGTTCAAAGCTGTAGCCGACCGCCCGCTCGCCGTACCTGTAATAAACAAATAATAATAAGTAATAATAAATAATAATAATAATAATAATAATAATAATAAAATATAATATAAAAATGCATGAGTAAATAATTAATATAAAATAACATAAATAATAATATAAAATACTTAAGATGAATAATTTATTATTATTGTACTATATTTAGGGCCTACTATGCATTTTGTGGAGGCAAACACATGGTGACGTGCGCGTGCGGTTGGGGGGGGGGGGGGGGGGGGGGGGGGGGGGGGGGGGAGGGTCACGTTACACGCGCTATGTTAGCAACGAACGTGTAGTTTCCTGTCCGGGTAGTCTTCTTCTTATGTTTTCCTTGAAATATGGTGCAAAATTCAGACAGCATCGAGGGTTGCTTAGTGCATATTAGTTCACACATGTATTTTATGAACATATTTTATGTTCGTTAATCAATCCAACCCACGGTATTTCAACTTTAACAAAAGTTTGCTACACACGCAATACGGACACGTGCATCATACACGCACGGCAATAACTGTGAAAAAATAATCAAACTAAAAAAACTTGATGAAGAAGCATAGTCAATACTCATGACAATTACGACGAAATCTGTGACATTATAGATAACAGCAAACAAGACAGGCAGTATTAAAGAGTGCCCCTACTACCATGACGATAAATGCATTCATCCCTCTCTCTATCTCTCTCTCTCCTGAGTCTCCTCTCTCCTCGCTCTCTCTCTCTCTCTCTCTCTCTCTCTCTCTCTCTCTCTCTCTCT